AGCAGGTTGCACAATGGACAAATTTGAAAATAAATTAATCAAGTGCAAGCAATTATATCAGCTTCCCATGAGTGGGTCACTAAAATGCTACTAATGTAAAAAGGTAAAAACTAAGTTTACCGCTGCCTTCATCAAAAAACAGAATTGGAGTTAAGGGGGCTACATGCTCATTTCGCTAATTGATTGAGAGATGCAGTAAAATTCAATGTATGTATAAAACTTCATAATTCACATCTTGGGCACCAATCTCGTTCAGCACCTGCTTGTATTTTCTTTTCAATCTTCAATGGTAGAGAGAAGAACAAAGTTTGATTGAAAAGGCTTGCGGCTTTTTGCGAATCACACAAGTCAATTGTAACAGCGTGCGAATCCTCAAACACAGATATTTTATTTCAATTATGAAAAATCAGAAGTAAGTAAGTCAAATCTTCAACTGTAGCCGTTTTAAGACGCGATCTCTAAGCGCGATAAGGAATTTCTCATTTGCATAAACTTTTTCTTGTAAAGAAACTGATTTTCTGGAAATGAAATTTGCAAATAGACAAGGTCAAAAAATTCTTTTTTGTTCAACAGTTCTAAAGGTTTTCTCACTTTTAATGGGTGCATGCGCCTTAAAGGTGGAGTTTGAGAAAACGCATATAAACGTATCTAAATAAGATTCGCAAAAAAGAAACAACTTTTGCGGTAACAATATTATTTAAGCTCTAAATTCCAGATTTGCTGCTTGCTCATGACGTCATGATTAGAGTACTAACTAAACTTCGGGGAAAAATAAACAAAAAACAGATCACACTTTTCAATAGATTATGACAGCTTCAAGGAGAAGGCAATTCAACTCGAATCTCAGGTGCCTCTGGCTTAAAAGTTCATAGTATAAAATTGTTCCAGTTAACATTGTAGAACATTTGCTGTGTACTAACGCTACAGTAGATTTTTCGTAAAACTAGCAATTCAAAAGGACATCAATCAATGCAGAATTTTGAAAAAATCTATCTAAGAGCAATTTTCAAAAAGAAAGTAAGAAACAAACTGACTAGAATGTAAGAAGCCAAACCTATTG